TTCACTTTTTTATATTTTGCTATTTACTTTTTTATTTTTTAAATATTTAATATATATTTAAAAATTTTTTAATATGCGACCATTTGATATTATTATTTACAAAATATTTTTTCTTTATTTTTCTTTTTTAATTTGATTATTTTTAAAGTAAAGGGTATAAGCGAAAGTATAAATATTGTATCCATATTTTTTTTTTACTTTTTGACTTTTTTTAAAAATCCATAATATAAAATTAAAAAAAAAACATATCTTTATTAATGGTGTGAGGGAGCTTAACTTTTTTTTTTTTTTTTTTTTTCATTTTTTCATTTAAAAATATTTTCTCTTCTTTTTTTTTAATTTTTAAATTAGATAAGTTTTTTTTTTTTTAAAAAGGCAAACAAATGTGTGCATGTGATATTCTATTTCATTTTTTTACACTTTTTTTAATTTTTTAATTAGATAAATTTTGTACCAAAAAAATTGATAAATAAATTTTAAAAAAAATATATATGGAGATATATATGACAAAACAATTCATATCATATGAGGTTCAATTTATGCGGATCTAATATGTGCACTTTTTAAAAAAAATTTAAGATAAAGTAAATTATTGTAAAAATTGAAGTCAAGTCAAATAGAAATTTAAGGTGTTTCATCTCGTCTAGGTATGCCATGTATTTTTTTTTTCAATATTTAACCTTTTTTTATTTTTTTTTATATATTTAATAAATAATTTTTAAGATTCATTTTTATGGGACTTACTTGGTATTGATGGTATTTCACATGTCAAACTATTTGTTTCCTTTTTTCTCTATTTACATTTTGTCCTTTTTTTTTTATTTGATAAGTATTGTTTTAATATTTTTAATATTTTAATGTTAGACCCAAGAGTGGACGACACATCCGGATTTGATTTTGTTCTTTCTTTAATCCTTTCTTTTTTTTTTTTTCAATCTTATTTTTAGCTTTTTTAAATCCATGATACGAATTCTTTAGAAAATCTTATCATTATTGATGTTGTGTGCCAACTCAATTTTCTTTCTTTTTATCTTTTTACTTCTTTTGCTTTTCATCTTTTCTTTTTTTCGTTTTAAGTTTTTTCTACCTTTCTTATGTTAATAAATATTTTTAATTATTTTATATACGTGGTCAATATTATATTATTTATTAAAAATTTTTTTATTGTATTTTTTTATAATTAAATAATTTTAAAAAATAAATATTAATGAAAGTATTGACGTGATATTTGAATTTAATTTTTTAAAGATTTTTTTTATTTTAAGGTATAATAAAAGGATATTAGAAAAGAATATTGTAAGAGAAGCTCATCATTACTAAAGTCGAATGATACTGTACTTTTTTTTTGCTTTTTGTCTTATTTTTTTTATTTTTTAATTAGATTTTTTTTGAAAAATAAATAGTTAATTTTTTACCTTATTTATTTATTTATTTATATTTTTAATCAAGTAATTTACAGCAAAAGAAATCAAAAAAATAATTTTTTAAAAAATATCATTGGGGGTATGGATAACAAAACAATCCATATCCAATAAATTTTGATTCATTCGAATTCGATAGTTATGCTTTTATTTAAGATTAAATCGAGAATTTTTTGAAAGCTGTTTACTTATTCCATTGGCCTTGATTGTATATATTAAATTATGTTTTGTATTTATATTTATACATATGTGTTATATTAATATAGATATTATTTAATATCTTAATAAAAATATTAAATTTATATATAATTTAGATGTTATTTGTGCATCCATCCATTATATTAATTTATCTCATTTTAACTTTTGTTTGATCCTCTGTCTTGATGTGTAGCCTTTTTTTTTTTTTTACTTTTTTTCATTTTTTATTTTTTAAAAAATTTAGATAAAATTTGTGAAAAATCTTATTAAATATCCATGTGGCATCCTAATTTACTTTTTTTTTCTTTTGAATTTTTTAATTATATAAATTTTGCAATAAAAAAAGCAGATAGATAAGAGGGCAAAACAATTCGTATTTGATGGGTCTTCACTCAGGGATGTCCATGTAGTTTCCCAATGAGTTTTCCTTTTTTTTTTTTTTTTTCTTTTTTTTGGTTTTTTATTAAAGTAATTTTGTAAAAAAACAATAGAGGTGTCGACATGGCAACAATTTTGGCTTTTTTTTCTCTTTCATTTTAAAATTTTTTTGATTGGATAAGTTTTGTAACAAAAGATATCGATTGATAGAAATGACAAAATATTTCGTAAATCCATCTTGATGTAATAAGAGGCGATTTTTTTAAATTAGGATTAAGTTGAGATTAGTTAAGTTTAAGGTACTTTGTCTTTACCCATTTTAAGGTATGCATAAAAAATATATTTTATTATTTATTTAATTTTAAACATATATTATATTAATAAAATTATTTTTTTATCTTAATTTAATAAATTAATATTTTAAGTTTAATATGGGATGTCAATGTGACACCCCTTACGAGCTCTTTTTCATTTTTTTCTTATTTCTTATTTTTATTTTTTTTTTTTATTTTTCTCTCAATTTCATTTTTTTCAATTCTTTTTGTTTTTTGTATTTTTTATTAAATAAATTTTATCAAAAAAAGACCAATTAAGATATTTACATGTCATTTTCATTTTTTTATCTTTTTTTTAATTAGATAAATTTTACAAAAACATAAAATGAATAGAAATGGTAAAGCAAAAAAATTTTCACGCGCGTACGACAACACACGAGCATTTTGCTAGTTTTTGTTAATGTTGCTACTATGCTCTCGAGCTTCACTTCAGTTAAAATTAAACAAGTTAGACACTAGCCATCTATTTTGAATAAAAAAACTTGGTACCATTTTGTACCATCCCATGGGTTTACCTCTAACAATTTAAAATATAATATGATAATACGATATGAAAAATATATATGAAACTGATATGATTTAAAATTTTAATAAAAATTATATATGAGTTGATAAAACAAAAAAAAATTATATTTTTGTATTGATATAAATTATAATACATAATTTTCATATAAAATATGATTTAAATACATAGATTATCGATATTTTACTATTACTTATAATTTGTTTCTTCTATAGGTTAGACTTATTGCTGTCTTTGTTTATTAATAATTAATTAGTAATATCTTATTACTACCATATGCTTCTCTATATAGTTTCTAGTTCTACAGACTTCTACCATTTTGATCCAGTTATAAAATGCTGGCTCTAGTGCGGTGGAAGGACTCCCAACACGCTTTCAAATGTAGCCATAGTATGTCACTTTCAGCTTCAAATGGAATGTCAACTTAGGTGCACTAAAGATTAGGTTTGTCATCCAGTCCTATATTCTCCTGGAGAAAAAGACATTTCCCTGTTATGGCGCTTACCTCCTATCCAAGAGACAACTTGAAACATAATCACGTAGTAGCATCAAATTATTAGCCTGGTTGGTTTGTAAGAATATTAATGATGAACTTTACTCTTTCAAATCTTTGGAGGTCGAACACCAAAATTTTTACTCTCATGCAAGTGGATAACTAATAAAATTTACAAAAAAAAGAAAAGAAAAAAAAATCCCAAAGTGAAAAGAATAATGGATATATGAGCATGAATGAATTACTAGTTTTAACGGGAGCTTAAGGTTGACGTATAAGATGTTGAAGAATGATTCAAAATTGAGTTCATATTTGAGCTTAAAGTCTTAGTTTTTAGGATATAGTTGATAATAGATGTTGATTTTTAGGATTAGTTGATAATAATTGTTAGAAGTGGTTGAGTAATTTTTAATATTCAGTTATTTTTTTCATTTTTTTATTATCTGTTAACTGTTTGAATTTTTTTCTCTAATAATTATCTTATAAGTGTATTAAAAGCTGATTGAATTTAATAAGAAGGCAAAGTAATTTATTTACAATTACCCAAAATTAATTATTTCTTGGGAGTCTTAATTTTAGAAAAGTCTATCTCCTTCCCCAACATAAGAGCAGGGTAGGGTCAAGCCACGTGAAACATATTACTTTCAGATGGTGCATTCTCATGGACAAGATTTCTTTGAGAGATCGTACCAAGATGCTCTTGATCTGAAAATTAAAAAAGAAGAAGCAGAACTTATTCTTTAATCTTTATCAGAATCTGTTGTAGTATCAAATTGGAAGGTGTGATCAAGTTGCACACCAATGTGAAGAACTGGGGGTGATACTTCTGAGACTATATAAGCAAGCTGTTCGTGTCCTAATTTTTTCACACTCAGGAGTCAGGAGGCAATTAGCAATGGGCAAATACTATATATAACAAGGCAACTCGCATCTACTCTCCCTCAAGGGCTTCAGCAACAGCAACCTCTCGTTATGTGCAAGCTTAATACGCCTGCAATGACGATTGAGTGGTGGGTGAAGTCCTTGTCGGAGAGTCCATGGGACAGGTCTTGCATTCTGTCGATCCGATCAGTTATAAAGACCAACAACAAATGCTTCTTGTTCAGACAGCTATGGTTTTTTTTTTTTTTTTTTTTGTTGAAGAACATATATAAATATAGAATTATAATGTTTGAGATTGAGATTTTCACCTACTTTAGAGTCTCTATAGATAACTTATTTCCTCTTCGGCATAGATTAATCAAAAATAATTACTGGGTAGTTGATATTATTTTCTATCTCTAAGCAGTTGATTTGTGAATTTATCCAAAGATAATTAGTATTTTCCCGGACAAAGGCTCATCCAGCCAAGTAAGATTGAAACTTTTGGTATCACAATAACTAACAATACCACATTTCACAGGCTTAAACGGTATGATAGAAGAAAAAAAGCAGTCGATAATGAGCGCAAAGGCTTGACTAGATAAATAGACAGTTGCACCCTATCTCTGTGATGAAATCATCAAGATTTCCTCCGCTTTTACAGGCCTATTTAAGAGGCATTTACTATAACCTTTACAATGATTTGAGGATTGTTCATGAGGATTATTTGGGAGTAGAGACAACCAACATTCAATAAGCACAAGTGAGTTTCTCATAAAAATTTGAAAAGAATGGCTGGGGGAGGATTTGTTGCTCACGGCCGGAGAAAAACCTATGAAGATCGTGTCACTACCTTTGTGGTCATCACTTGTATAGTTGCTGCAATGGGAGGTCTCCTCTTCGGATATGATGTTGGAATTTCTGGAGGCGTGATCTCAATGGAATCGTTTCTGAAGAAGTTCTTCCCATCAGGTTTAGAAAAACAGAAAAATAATAAGGCCACTACTCATGAAAGCGAGTATTGCAAATTCGATAGCCAGCTACTAACATCGTTCACCTCTTCGCTCTACCTTGCCGCTTTGTTAGCCTCCTTTTTTGCTTCTGACGTGACAAGGATCTCTGGTCGGAAAGCTTCCGTGTTTATTGGAGGCATTGCTTTTCTTATTGGCTCCAACCTTAATGGTATTGCCATGAATATGATATTTTTAATCATTGGCCGCTTGATGCTTGGTGTGGGTGTTGGATTTACTAACCAGGTAAAAGAATTTTCTATTATTTCTCCTTCTTTATAACCTGCCTCAAAAAACTCATGTCTTATATATATATATATATATATATATCCATGGCAGTCTGTTCCGGTTTATCTATCAACTAAGATTAGAGGAGCTATCAACATTGGTTTCCAAATGGCGGTTACTATCGGGATTCTAACTGCTGGTCTTATTAACTATGGCACAGAAACTATCGAGGATGGATGGAGAGTTTCTTTAGCTCTTGCAGGCGTTCCTGCGATAATGATGGCTATCGGAGCTGTCTTATTACCAGATACTCCCAACTCCCTGATTGAGAGAGGCTACACTGAAAAGGGAAAATTAATATTACAAAGGATTCGTGGCACTAAGGATGTCAATGAGGAATTCAACGACCTCGTTGAGGCAAGCGAAGCAGCAAAGAAAGTAGAAGACCCTTGGAGGAACATCCTTGAGCCAAGACCTAGGCCCCATCTAGTCATATGCACTCTCATCCCGTTATTCCAGCGGCTCACTGGCATCCATGTTATCACGTCTTATGCGCCTGTTCTCTTCAAGATTTTAGGCTTCGGTGAGAACGCTTCATTTATGTCTGCGGTCATATCTGGCTTAGTGAATATGCTTGCCACGATTGTTTCCATCCACTCAGTTGACTCGTTTGGAAGGAGGATTTTATTCCTTGAAGGCGGCGCCCAAATGATTCTTAGCCTGGTATAGCTACCTTTCTCAATTTTTTCACGTTACCAATTCAATAAGCGACACACATTTAATTTTATTTGACATATATAGATATTGATTGCGGTTAGAATCACGATAGCTGTGCAGTTAGGGTTCAATGGTGAGGGGAGCTATGCAAAAACCGAGGCCAATTTTCTGTTGTTCCTGATCTGCGTGTACATAGCAGCATTTGCATGGTCTTGGGGGCCATTGGGATGGTGGATAAATAGTGAGATTTGCCCTCTAGATATCCGACAAGTTGGACAAGCAATTAATGTCTCAGTTAACATGCTCTTCACCTTCTTAATTGCTCAGGTCTTCCTCTCCACGATTTGCCACATTAGGTTTGTTCTCTTCCTCCTCTTCCTCGGGGCTGTTATAACCATGACCATTTTCATTGCCTTGTTCTTGCCTGAGACAAAGAACATCCCGATTGAAGAGATGAACAGAGTCTGGAAGGGACATTGGTTCTGAGGAAAGTACATCGCAAATGAAACCGTCAACGGCAACCCATCTTCCAGTGTCAAAGTTGTTGTATGACCAAAAATGCAGAGTGCACTTAAAGCCAAAGCAATAGTCAGAAAGCAAATAAAGAATTCATATTCACCTTTGTTGGGTTTTATGTCTTGATTTAACCTTCATTTTGTTACCTTTATTTGTAGGCCCGATTTTAATTTTATAATTTTTTTCGCTTAAAATTATGTGTAATCAGTATCAAGAAAGTCAAAAAACATTTTTTTTCGGGGGAGAATTACAAATTTATGTAGTGGAATTAACCCGTGGCCAATGGGCCTTTTTATTTTCCTGTCATGCCATTTTCCCTTCCTTTTCATTGATACCAGGAAAATCTCCCTTGCTTAGCTACGAGAAACCCTAATAATTTTTTATTCATTAAAGTTTAAAATTAATTATTTAAAATTAAAATTTTTTTACAAATATAATATTTATTTTAAATTTTCTTTGTCCCTTTTTTTTTATAGGTTGCTTTTTCTTTTGTCAAAAGAGTCAATTTATTTCACCTCATTTTAAAGATATAAATTGATAGAATTAATATGAATACTTATAACATTTTAATTATTCAAAAAGAATTGTTAAAAAACAAATAAAAATAAAATCTAAAAAAAACAAATTAAAACCATATAAAAATTAAAAACAATTGAATATATACAAAAGATTTAAAATTATATTAGCCCAACAAATTAATATTTCTTATCAAAAGTCCAAAAGTTTGAAGTCCATTTCACTATATAATATAAAAATACCCACTTACATAAAAAATATTTCAACTGTACTTGTCAATTAGATGAACCATGTAGTTATGTTTCATTTAATGCTAAATGTTAGATGTAAGATGTTAGATAATAAAATGTCCAAACTTGGGAATAATAATATTCTTACATGTACAAATAAGAATTACACAACAATTTAATTTCATATAACTAAAACACATAATATTACTAATTTTCAAACATTTCCCTAAAGAAAATAGAATAAAACACACATTTTGTATTTTTTATTATATATATCTTTTGAAATAATCCCATAGAATTAAATCAAGGACATAAATAAAAATTTAAATATAAAATAAACAAAAAATTACACATTACAAACTATTTGATTTATCCTAAATATGATGGGCCAAGGTTGCAATTGAGTTGGATCTGGGCTAATGATGCAATTATACCTTTTTTTTGTGTGTTTTTCTTATTATCAAAACTACGTCGTTTTGATCAATTAATAAAAAATGTAATCTTAAACCCTAGCTATATTCACAAAAATACCCTAACTATAAAAGCATTTTATTCACAATTTCTTTCCTTTTCTCATTGCTGTTTTTCTCTTTATTCTTTCATTATTTTTGTTGTTACTTTCTTTCTTTGTTTTTTTCTTCCTTTTTTTTCTTTTTTCTTTTCACCGCCTTTATCTTCTGTCACGTAGCTAATCTTGTGATTGTTGATAGTTTCCCTACTCATTCTCTTCCTACTTTTCCTTTCTTTTCCTTTTTCTTTGTCATTTCTCATTGTTCTTTTTTTTTGTTGGAAATTTTCAGATTCCATTTATATTTGCTTTATCTTTCATTTCATTTTATTTTTATTTTTTGCATTTTTTAAAGTTGATTTAGGATTATGTAATATTGGTTTGATTTTTGTTTTATTTGTGTTCTTTTTTTTTTTTTTTTGCTTTTTTTTATTATATTTGAGTTTGATTTATGTTTTGGTTTTTTGGTTATTTGATGCTAAGTTTGAGAATTTTTTTATTTTTAGTTTATTTTTCTATTATATTTGAGTTTGATTTATATTTTTTATTTTGGGTTGTTTGATGCTTAGTTTGAAAATGTTAGAGAATTTTTATTGAAACTAGTTTGATGTCCATGCTTCGCTATGGTTTTCTTTTTTTTAATTTAGCATAATTGAAAATTTGAAATGTATAAAAGATAGTATATTAAAAAATAAATAATCAAAACAAAATCAATTTAAGAGTTTATGTATTAAAGAAAAGTAAGATATAATACATTTTCATATACATAGAGAGAGCAATATAGAGTTTCTTATAAAAAAAAGGTAATGCAAAGTCCATTAAGAAAGAAAAAAAATTAAAACCACATTTAAAAAAAATATATATATAAAGAAATGTGTTCATTAATTTAATGAGGAATGAACTTTTTAAAAGTATCTAAAAAGCCAAGAATTTCGACTAAGTTTTAATATCCTATTGCCAACATTTTGGCTAAAGTAACTGAATCTCAAGCATAAAATCTTTAATTACCACGGTTTAATGTGGAAAGCATTGAACGTGGACTTATCACTATAATTCTTAGAAGTAATTGTGGTTTCATGGTAGTATCAGACAAATTTTGACCAGTGGTAGCCAAATGATTCTTCATGAATAGGTTGCACACAGAAACAAAAATTGCTTGGTTTGAGACCGAAAACATCTTCATATCATAAGGACATTGAACAGGATGTACATCATGTTGAATAAAAGAAGCTGTTAATGAAAAATGATTGCCACCTTGTTGCCTATTGTGATTGAAGGATTTCTAGATGGCAAAAACCAACAGGTAAAAGTGAAAATAATATCAGTTGATTATTCATGTAGAGTTAAAGACATTGCCAACCAATAAATTAAGAATCATTCTAAAAAAAAAAACCTATGTAAATTAAGGTGTAACTCTATCTGAATAATGAAGTAATGTCTAAAAAAAGTTCATTCCTCTCATAATTTCATTAAGCCAAGAAATAGATTTTTCATTTTAGAAAAAGGAAAAGAAGGCAAAATTCATATTAAAGATGTAAAAAATAATAGTTTACACATTAATATTCAAATACAACAAATTAGAAAGAGAGATTTTTGTACCTTTAAATTATAGCCATAGTCATAAGTATCATGGAATATAAACTTCTTCCTTGCTTCCAAATCCCATGATGGTTGATAACAATAGAGATTGAAGTTAAATTTAAAATGGTGGTTAAAGGTCATTGAGGGAAAAAAAAAGACCTATAATGTATTGTTCGAACCTGAAGTATGAAGTCTTTACAAAATATATGATGCATGCCATGTAGTGTTAATGCTACAGCATATGTATACCTAAGTTCAATCAAATGCTCACTCATGTGAAAGGCCACATTAGGTAAAGAATAAAATAAAGATAAAATTAATAAAAAATTTCTCACATTTCTAACACCCATCCAAATGCCTTATTAGTTATTGGTTCATCTTTCATTATTAAAAAAAATTCATCCATGTAGATGAAATTTCCTCTAGCATTCATACAAATGTCTACTAAGCAAGATTGATAATCCAAAAATTAATAAGAACTTTCAAACCAGAGGAAAAATATGAACAGATACATTTGATGCAAATTATTCTTTTAATCTTCACCATTGCATTTAGTTGTTACGAAAGCTATCATACCTGGAATGTTCGAGCTAAACTAGGGCCTAAGAAAAATTGTCCCTTTGAAACTAATTGAATGCCTTTAATCTATTACAATTATTTGATAAGTGATTCCACATCAGGCTAATGTCAATATTTAATATTAACGTGTGAAAATTAGCCATTGCAAGCATGTAATACCTAATGCTAGGACAAAAAGCATAACATAGATGATAAGAAACTTTTGTCACAGGGTATAAACAAAAATTTCAGAGTTTGCTTGTATTGCTTGTAATCTTCTAACTTATCATTATCACCAACCACAACTCCAAGGCTTCAATCAGTGGATCCGATTGTGATGGGATAAGAGAATAAAGAAGATCACAATATAATAAAAAAAGGTAAAAACAACTTAGGAAATTATAAAATTAAAAGACCTAGTAGCTTGTTGATTACTATTATCTCTTTAATGATAAAAATATACAATCAAGTGTGAAATCCAGTTGCGAACCTCTACCTAAACTATCGAAATTATGAAAGTTATTTGAAAATTCAATTTAGGGCATAGAGAGGGTAGGTAGATAATAGCATGGCCTAAAAGAAAATAGCTTCAGGGAGTTCACCTATAAAAAAAGCATTTGCGATAACCAGACCTTAAATAGGCCCAACTATTTCTATCTATATGATATGTAAGATTCAGATGTACCTGCTAAGCAGTGATTAAGTCATTTAAAAGTCAATCAAAATTTTTTTCAAGATGATGATGAAGACTAAGAAGTAAAAGGAGAAACTTTAGGTAGTAGGAATTTGATAGTAGAGACCTTAAGTTTGTCATTGGATTAAAATAATTTCTTAAAAAAGGTTTGTCAGAATGCAAACAGAATTGCACCTAATAGTAAAACATACCAAAAAAAGGCTTATCTAAATTGATTAGAGATGTAATCTCTGGAAATCTTTTTGCGATTGATGGGCTAAAAAAGAGGAAAAACATATTAGAATGAGTTTGATTTTTTTTTTTGTATTGAAAATATATGTTGATCTCAAACTTTCAAAATAAACATATAATAAAGAATTCAATAGTGTTTTTTTTTCTTTTTAAGAAAAAGAATAAAAATAAATTAGTTGTTTTAGTATAATATAGATTTCCTACTAAAGAATATCAAATGGGTCATTGTAAGAATGCTTAACTAAATGCCAAGAATTTGTTGTGTTTAAAGGTGACTAGGTTCACCAATTTGTACGCCATGCTAAAGTTTATCTAGAATATTAGTCCCTTTTACCTTCACTTAAGCAAAACCAAGTGAAGACAATTTCAATCGATAAAGATAATTGTGAATTCTCTCACCAGATCTGATAAGAATAGGTGGCTTAAATATCTCACTGCCATTAAATGATTATTAATAAAGAAGAAAAGATTATATTTGTTTTAGTTAAAAAATCAAAAGGAAAAATGATTAGAACTTCAAAACATTGCATAGACCAGTTTTTGACATTAAAATAATCAAAATGATACATCTATACGATATATCTGCTACTTACCTAGATGACGAATTATCTATTGATGGAATTTCATAAAAAATAAAAACATGGCATAAGTTCATAAAAAAATAATGTAAGTTTACCTAGAATATTAGTCTTAATTGAAAATTTTGAATATTCTCTTATCCTTTGGCAATATGACGAATCTGGAATCAAATGTTTGCTTTTATTAGGAGTAGTAATGAGAGAGTAAGGGAAACATATAATATTTTATCTATAAC